TAGGCTCACAAAGCTAAAAGCTCTCCTGGAGTTGATGGGAACTGACGACTGCAGAGTGGGTGCAAAAAAAAATAGTTATGCGTGCTTCACTTCCCAGTACTTGAATGCAGTTTTGATGAGGGGCAAATCTCAGTCAAAAATAAAAATGAATAATATATTTTTTAAAAAGTTCTTGACAAATAAAACATGATCAGCATTGTATTGACTAATGTTAGCCTATTAAGAAAAGTACAGGCTCAAACTCCCTCCTCTTTATACATTTGGATTGGAAATAAATGCTGTTTAAATATTTATACTGCTTGGTGTTACACATGTACATTTGTTTCATAAAACTAGCCTTCCAGTAAGAAAATTATGCATTTTTTAAAGAAAAATGCATGGAACATGATTATGTAGTTTACCTCTCAGTGTATTACTGCATAGGATTGCATTATAGAAATGTCACAGTGTTGGGGAAAAATTCCACCTGGATCTAGAGTTACTCTATAAAATACACAATCACTACACTTTACAGCAAATCCCATGAAGCACTTTGAGATGTCCTCTGAAGTGAAAGGCGTTGTATCAAATGTAAGGATTATTATTATTTCAGAGTATTCAGAATTTGGCAAATTGTTGAATTCAATATTAACTTTGAAGCTGGTTTTCTGTAAAAGAAGTTAAAGAAAACTTGCTTCAAAATTAAACACTATTTAAGAATTTGCCAAATTCAAGACGTTTTGAAATGCTTCAGGACAAAGTCTAGACCCAGGTGGAATGTTATTCCTTGTACGCTTTTTTTTAATGTGCGTTTCTGTACCAGTGGTGGGGGGGGGGGACCATTATCTACAGATTACTGAGTTGTAAAATATTACCACAGATTCGCATAATAGACTGTATTGCTTTTAGAAAATTAATGGGGCGTCGGAAACGTTGAGAGTAACCCAGCACTTTCTCAGTGGTAAATGAGACATTTCATGGCCATGTAATTGGTAACCTTATTGAGTTTTCTGCAGGATACTTGGCAGCAGAGAGAGCGCTCATGCTGAACATGGGTCATAATAATCAGCCAAGAAGAAAGAATGATTTTACAGCTCGACCATATGTTTCAGAGATTGCTCCCAGCAATTGCTGGGAAGATATATAGCGATTGGTTTGATCAAGTATTGAATGTTGTGATTAACAAGAAAAATACCTCTTGTTTTATTTCCTAGAATTACTGGATACCATGTGTACCTGATGTAACATTTCCTGTTAATCAACCTTAGGCTCGCTTTCTTGTCAGTCCACAGTAGTTATGTGGTTTATCTACAAACGTGAATATCATCGCACATCAACGACATGGAGCTGAGCACAGCTGACATCCCCTGCTGGCACAAAAACTGACCTAGAAATAAATATAACCTACACATAAAATGAAGACACTGTCGTTCATTTTCTTTAAAACTCCAGAACTAAGGTATGGGGGACAGAATAGTCGGGTCAGTCAGATGGGTTGGAATAGTTTTCCACACTCCAATGCTCCTTAAAGAAAAGTGAATGATAAGAGAACTAGCTGTACCCGTTGCAGCTACTCTTGCCCAGTTTCAATTAATTGGCCGCCTCTCTTTCGCCTGCCATTTTTATTTGTCCTTGAAAGACTTGATCTTTGCTTCTTAGGTGTCTTTATCCCTTAAGATTAAGAAAATGTGCGATTGAACTCATTAGCATCCTTGTGCACATATTTGCATACATATCCTTTTGGGAGGACTCCAAGTTGGGAAGACTCCTGGTTGGGAGGACTCCTGTGGGAGGACTTGTGTTGGGAGGACTCCTTGTTGGAGTCTACACATGTGTGATGGGCTTGTTTAGGTCACAGTAGGAGACTCCCCCCCAAAAAAAAATATGCCCATGGTATTCCCCCTGCAAGTTCTGATGAGGTATAAATCATGTCTCTACGTCAATCGGTTAGACAGACAGACTTTATTATTATTGTCTTTATTATTATAACTATATCTCTCTAGAAGGGTGTTTGACCTCTGTCACTACTTTGTTGCAGAATACCATGCATACCTTTTTGGGGGCTTAATTAAAGCTCTTTTTTAGATCATCAACGATAGGAGATCCCTGAAAAAATATATACCCATAATGCTCGCCCATGCAAGACTTTTCCGATGAGGTATAAATCATGTCTCTACGTCAATCAGTTATTGTATTCTTGGCAGACAGACAAACACACATTTGTCTTTATTAGTATAGATGATTTTGTATCTGTGATTTCTTCTCAGGCTTTGTTCTAACCGTTTATGTCATCAAACTCCGAGCATCCATCATTCTCTACTTAATGTTCTCTATGTTTGCACATTGATATCTGTTTGGAGAGAAATTCTCAGTTATTATCAAAAGGTACTTTGTCTGGGAATTGGTCAGTCAAGTTGGTCAAAATGTTGTCCTTTCACTCAGGGATATTGATTCCACTTCAACCTCGGCTTAATAGGATGAAAGTCCAGGGCAACCTTGTCATAGCACGATCTTGCTGGTCTATAAAATTAGATCCCAGGTTTTAATGCGTCTGCAGGGAAAATAATGGCAGCCAATCCCAATTCCAGGGCATTGGGTCCTTGATGACAAAGCTATTGGCTTCTAGCTGGCTGGCTCTGCACTTGTGAGTAGCAAAAAGGATCCCAGCTGGTTAGCCGTGGGTTCTTTTGGCAATCTTTCTATCAGTAGAATCGCTTGTGAGAGTGGTAACAGCTGATGGGCTCGCCCTTCTATTCTGTCGTCTTCAACTGTGCCTTCATTCACCTTCCTACCCCTATTCACCCCACCATTCACCCCTTCTGCTCCCAACCACCAGCTCAGGTGCGGATCCCTGACTGTCCAGTGCCTTGGGATGTCCTCCAGACGTGAAAGGCGCTATACAAATATAATTTGTTGTTGTTCTTGCATACATTCGCAGGTAGCTGGTCAGTCTGTTCTAGAAGCTGAAAATGGGCCACATTCTACTAACTTTGAAACCTCAGGAAACCCATGTTATAAACAATATTCATACTCTAGTGAGGAACTGTTTAACAAGATTGTTCTGTATCTTCCTATTGGCTGTAAGAGTATTAAGTGAAATATGTTTGGCATGATCCAAGAGAGCTTGAGTTACTAGTAAAATGAGCCTACAATTTGGTACTCAGCTATCAGTCTCAGGCAGAGAGACCATAAGGATGGCTCAAGGATGAATCAAGTTCTGTGAGTGAATGGGGTCCTGTAGCTTACTGGTTAGAGCACTCAACTCACAAGCGAGAGGACCTGGGTTCAATTCCCGAGCAGGGCGAAACCTTAGGTAGGTTTCCTTACTCCACACATCTCTGTTTACTTAACAGTAAGTAGAACCCGATTGTTAGTCAATTGGCAGATCGCTTTCCGGGGGTAATCATATTTTTTTTAAAAATTGGTCATTCAATCCACAAATGTTTGTGGGACACTGCTGTGTGCAATTGGCTGCCGTGTTTTGCCCACATAATATAGTCAATTAATTTTACAGTATATTCTGTGAAGCTCTTTGAGATGTCTCAACAACTTGATAAGGTACTATATCAAATACAAGGATTATTATAAAGGTCTAGACAACTGATCGAATCCCACGAGAGATCAGACAGGTTAACAAATGCAAATAACTATCTTTCATTTGCGTTTTGCTGAAGCACGTGAATAGTTGCAATATTATTCCGTTGATCCGCCCCTAACAAAATTACTTTCCCTCCAGGCAATTGATTGCAAAACAAACTTTGACCATTAGCACATCAAGTGACCTATTGTCTAAATTATTTCTCTTCAGATAATGACTGCCTGAATAGTTGACTCTATTTCTCACCAATTACATTGCAATCTAATTCACAATTAGAAATCTGGAGCACAATGTTGATATTTTGCTTTGGGAATTATTTTCACTGAAAATATTTGTCCTACAAGTGACTATTCTCCTTGAGAGATGAGATAAACAGGGTCTCCTTGGCTCCAAGATGAGGCGATATGCTTGGCAATAGAATGACAAAATTAAGTCAACTCTCAATGACTGCCTCAGTAGTTCGGTACCTGAACCCGGCAGTTCTACAGTACTCCAGGGCACTTCTGATTACAGCCAGACTCATCAGCAGGACTTGGAGGGGCAGACTGCATACTGAGAACGGGGAATATTAGCACTCAGCTCCCATTAACCCTACAAGCCCAAACTATAATGTATAGGGTGGTCCTAGCTGGACAAGCAGTGGGAGGCAAGGCAAGTTTTGACTGATTAAAGTCCAGCAGTAAAGCACACTTTGGTGTCCCCAAGCCTCGACTTTCACCAACCTGGAACCAGAGAAAATTATGGCAGAGAAGAAAGCCATTTGGTCTACTGTGTCTGTGCTGGCTCCCTCAAGAGCCATTCTTTCAGTCCTATTTGCCCTTTCCCCATATGCGAGTAGCTGACTTTTTTTTAGGTATTTGTCGAGTTCCCTCTTGCATGCCAATATGGATTCTGCCTCAATCATCGCTCCTGCCAGGACAGTCTATCTACTTTGTGCTTGAAAAGAAATATCCTCGCCTCCCCATTGGCTCACTTTCTTAAATTGATGCGCTCTAGTTGCCGATTCACTGACCAATGGAAATAATTTCTCCCTATTGACTTTATCAAAACCCCTCATTTTTGTTCCAGTGGGAAAAGTCCCAGTTCCTTCATGTCTCTGCTCATAGTTCATTCCCGGTATCATCCTAGTTAAATCTCCCCTGCACCCCTCAACCGGCACCTAATAATACTCCTTAATTGGGTAAGCAGAATACATCCCTCCAGGGAAGACATTCCATTCAGATGCAGTTTCTATGTGTAGGTGGCATACATGCATATATTTCTGTCTGGTATGGATATTCTTAAGCATGTTGATGAGTTTTCACATGTGTCTGGCACCCAGTTGATAAAAAAAATTGTGTTTTTTTACCTTTTATTTTGTGAATCAGATCAGCCTGTTTGTAAAAAAGAAAGTGAGTCTTCCCTTCTTCTCTTTCTCTTCCAGACCTTTCTGTCGACAGTATGCAGCAAGCCCTTCACCAGTCTGTCTTCATGTCAGCCATGTCTGCTCACCCAGCTCGTGATCTCCCACTCTGCTGGGAGCAGCACTGCAAGCTACTGCCTGGAGTGGTGAACTTCCAAGCCAGCAAAGTATCCAAATGGAGTACTGATGAGGTACAAAGAACTGACTGGAATTTACTGAGTTAACGGAGATAGGGGAGGCAGAGAGGAAGGAATGAGACACATTCCACAATATTTTGCACAAAGTCAAGAGACGTAGAGTGGAAACTGTGACTTGTAGTGTGATAGTTATCACGTTGCAGAACATTACTTCCCTGGTGGATGTCTGACTGATTAGAAAGCTGTTGGGTCCAAAGGGGCTTGCAGCCTCCATTGTTGCAGTTGAAGTTCCTCTCAAAGGGCAGATTGAGAAATTTTAAAAGATATAAATTTTGTTCAAGTTCTCCTGGTCCTTTAGTATATCGTTATAAAACTGATAACTAATATTAGAGTCATATCATGTCAGAACATTTCCGTAATTGACAGGTTCTTGACCAGGATATGTATGCCCTTCAGATGATACATTAAACGGAGATCCAGTCTGCTTATTCGGGTGAATGTTGAAGATCCCGTGGCACGATTCAAAAAGAGAAGTGAGTTTCTCCAGGTGTCCTGAGCAACAGGCCCCCAAATGGCCACTCAACCCATGGCTGTTTGTGGAACATTGCTGCGCGCAAACTGGCTGTCGCGTTTAACACAAAATATTTATAATCAATCCACTTTATAGTGTATCTTGTTAAGAGCATTGAGAAGTCTCGATGACACGATAAGGCCCTATATCAACTGCAAGGATTATTTATTATTCCTCCGTGAAAACATGCTGAACATTTACATGTTGGCTTCTAAAGCAATTGTTCTCACTTGTTGATATACAGATAAATACCTCAAGGCAATAGTGTGGCCCTTCAATACAGTTGTGGAGTCTAAACTGCAAGCTTCCCAAAAGGATTTGTAAATATTAATCCACATCCTTCCAAGAGCCAGCCTAGCTGTCTGTGGTGTCCTTATCAGTGACCTGGAGTGACTACGGATTGCATTGGGTTGACTCAATTCTTCATTCCGTTGCCAAACATGTCACCTTGAGGCTAGTTCAGCTCTAAGGAGACCCTGCTCACATCCCCCCTACCGCCCTCCCTACCGCAGAGAATAGTCAATGTTACCACATTCGCCTACAAATTATACAGTAAATACACTTCATATTAAATCCTACGAAGAACATAAAGGCACTATACCAAATGTAAGGATTACTATTTATTTTTTATTGTTGGCAGAAAGTGAGAGTTGTTCTTTAGAAAAAAATCTTGTGATTTATATACTGTATTCTGGTGTTTTTGCAATGTGCAGGCCATCAAATATTTTATGAGGGTCTTTTACTGATTATTCCAGGGTGGGTAGTTTGGAACTGAAACCGAATTATACAAGAATGCACAGCCTGTGTTTGCAGATGTCCATTAAATGGATCCCTACTGTTTATTTTTTTGCGGATGGTGGAAAGGTCAACTATTTCTTCTACAACAAATAGTTTTTCTCTGTGATCTTTTCTCTTCCGGTTTTCCTTTATAGTGAATGTTGGCAAACCATTCGATCATGGGGGACATCACAGCCAAGATTCCTATCCACACACTGCTTACTTTCCAGCAGGTGCCTCTGGATAGGAGTCAGGAACAGGAACCCAGACTGATTTTCTCTTCCTAAACCCAAGGTGCTGAAGGCAGTTGAAGAGTTCCAACTGCTAGCCTGGCTGAGATCTCTTCACAGGCCAGGATTCAAACCACCAGCCTAGATATCAATTGTTTCTTAAGTATACAGCAAATTTACTTACAACACGATTACACTATGGATCCTGTTCATTGCTCAGGGGCACAGCTGGCCTGCTTGTTTTCCACATGCCAGATGTTTTTTCGCACTTAAATAGCTGATTTATACAGGTCATTAGGTCTGCTTTGCTGTCCATGCGCAGATAAGTGAGTGACAGCAGCGGCAACCTAATGAAATAGAAAAGGGCCTTTTTGGCTTTCTGCAAATGAAGAAAAAGCAGATGTCTAGGTTATCAGGCCACCGCCAACCACACTTCCTGCTTTGTTCAGAAAACAGGAAGTGACATTGTGGTAAACGAATGACCCTGAAGTTGACCAGTCTTTTAATTTTAGTACAAGAACCGGTGCGCTCCCTGGACTTGTTGCTTGCAGGCGTGGTCAAACCTGCTAGCACACCTTCCAATAATGTGGTTTGGGATTTTATGGATCTCTTTTATGGATCACTGTTATAATGAGTCTCCATTACAGTAATTCAATTTAGGACATGCACTGCTCTGCAGAAAGTGTGCTTCACTTAACCACGTAAGTAAAACCCACATGGTTCTTATGAAGTTGCCTCAGTGTTGATTAATGGTGTAATACGTAAAAAAAAAGTTCTATATTTCCACAATTCACTACAGGCAAAAAATATAGGGCCATTATTTACAATGAATAGATTTATCTCCCTCAGCATTCAATTCCAGCTAGTTACAAATTAGTAGCATCTGCAAATCTTTGCAGAGAATCGAAGCATCCACATTTTCTGTTTTTTAAGGCTAGCACTCCGAAATGCTTCCTCACATGATAGGGCCTATATAAGTGTAAATTATTATTGTTGATCTTAAAACTAAATGATAGTTGGCCCAGGATCAATGGGTTAATGTATTTGAGTTAATGCTGTATTAATACAGTAAATTGATCAAGAGAATGTTTGTTCACAACGTTCAGAGACTTCTACTCTCTGACAGACTGAAAAATATCAGTGAGTTGGGTGAATTAATTGGATGATAATGTAGGCTAATTTTAATGGCAATGCACAGAATCTTAATTTGCCAGTTAATGACTTTGAAACTAAAGATGGCAATAATGAGCTAAACAAGATATTTGTGGGGTCTTCAAGCTCAATGGTTAAGCACTCACCTCGCAAGCGAGAGACCTGGGTTCAATTCCCGGCAGGGTGAAACATTGGGAAAGTTTCTTTCACGCCTCTGTTTACCTAGCCTCTGTTTACCTAGCAGTAAGTAGGAGCCCGGTTGTTAGTCGATTGGCGGATCGCTTTTCTGGGGGTAAAAATTCCTTCAAAATAATAATAATAAATTGATCACTTCAATGCACGACTGTTTGTGGAACACTGCTGTGCGCAATTGGCTGCAGCGTTTCGCCCATACAGTCAATTTACTTTACGGTATATTCTGTGAAGTGCTTTGAGACATATCGAAGACGTGATAAGGCGCTATGTCAAATACAAGGATTATTATTATTAAAGCACTAGCAGGTTAGAAAAGTAATTTTGTTGAATCTGCTTTTTTAAAACGTTATGTTACAGTATATGCCAAGGGTTTATTAAATTGTTTTTAGATTATTGGTATTAACTGAAATTGTTCACTGATGCTGTGAGCACCAAGCCCACCTGCATCGATATACCCATTAGGCAAGTGTTAAGCGTGATATTTATGATCAGCAGAACAAAATAATTTTAACACACGAGTCCCAAAATTTCACCTAGTCTTAGCCTATGAAGACCATGTTTCTTTAAAATTTAAGATCACACAGATTTATGGAAAATTTGTGTGTTCTGCTTTAATTTGAAATCCAATTCATTTAAGGATGCAGAAGACCATGAAGTTTGTGAATTTAAAACAATTTAGATTTAGAGCTGTTGGGGGACATCTTGAAACACATTAATGATGATCTACAATTCTGAATCACCTCAAATGCCAAGGAATAATATTCTTACGGAATGAGACCAGGTGGTATTTCATGTCAATGGAGCGGTCTCTAATTGTATTCAGCCTTAAAATAGCATATGATTTATCCAATAGGAGTGATCCTGACAACTGAAAGCTTCCATTTAAAAGGAATCCATGTTTAATCAAATAGCTTAATACATGCAATCTATTTTGAAATGAAAACATTTTGATCAATCTAGTGAGCTAGGCCTGTCTTTCGTTCTTATAGTATTTTATCCTAGTAATAGTGGAAAATCTGGCACAATAAGTCCTGCAGTTTTTGGTACTTTGACAGGCCTGCAGAGGAACTCATCCCTAATTACAGACAGTGGGAAGCTGAGAAGTAATTTGCTCTTGATGTCACTTTCTAAAGGCAGAAATGTTCTATTGCAAGTACATCCGCTACAGTTAAGGTTAGCAATTATCACACTCTAGGCTGCCTGGGCTTGCAATAAGAATTTCTAGCCAGAAGGAAATAAATTAATTTTCAGCTATAATTGTGAATCCAGATTCTTTCAAACAGTGTTTGTTTGTCCTTGGTACCATAAGAAAAGTCAGCGTGTCACAAATCCCTAGGGATACCAAACCATTGAATTACAGTCTGAATCACATGTCCACTTACCCTGTTCAGATTGCATCACCTGGAGGTCATCCTTCTGTGTTTTTTCTCCTATTGTTGCCCATGAAAAACATCTACACCTACTGTCCGTCAGTGAGAAAATGTTTCTTCAGAAACTGTCCATTTTTGACCTGCAGGCTTCTGTCAAGATTTTCTTGAATCATTTACTTGGAAACTTGATTTATTTCAAGGGCTTGCTAAAACATGTGTATCAAAACATTCTTCTGGATAGCATTCTTAGTATGGCTTTGCCCTTCCCCTGAACCAGAGCTTTGCAATGTGCATGTTGCAAAAAGTGGCCCTCAGGAATTGCATTTATATAATGGCCTTCATGTAGGATAACGTCTTGCAGCATCTTAGAATTGTTTTTGGACAGCTGGGTGCCTGACACATGCGGAAACCCATTACCATGCTTAAGAGTATCCAAACGAAACAGAGTTCCATGCATCCCACCTATTCATGGAAATTCCCATGCATTGTAATGGAATTCCTGGAGGGACACATCCTTGCTTGTCTAGTTCCAGAGAGTATTTGGTGCAGGTTGGCAAGAACCAAGGCTTGGGGACCCCAGCATGTGTGTCGGGGATTTAAATACTGTTAGATAGAGAGGGGGCAAATCACAAGGGTATAGTAACTGAAGCAACAAAAGCCATCAGTAGGGTGAGGAGGAGTGGAGGTCAAGCAGCAGCCTCTTAGCAAAGAGGTGGGGGTGGGGTGGGTGGAGGAGAGAGATGGTGGACAAGTTAGATAAGAAAAGATCACAGAGGTGTTGGAGAGTGAAGGATGAGGATCATGAAGTTGATTCTCTGGGAGACATGGCGATAGTGGAGCCTGGCGAGGTCTGACAAAATGGGAGTGTGGAGTTTGGTTCGGGTCAGGATGCGGACGTCAGAGTTTTAGATTGCTGGACATTATTTATGGTGGAACTAGGGAGCCTATAAGTAGTGTGTTTGAAAAGTCTAATCATAAGGAATGTATTTACAAAAATGTAATAATAATCCTTGCACTGGATTTTGCACCATTTACAATTGGGAAAATGTCTCAAAGGGCTTCAGATGGTTTACTGTAAAGAGAGTGACACTGTATTTGTGGGTGAACACGAGAGCCACTTTGTACACAGCAATGTCGTACAAACAGCCATGAAGTGAATGCCCAATTTCATCTAGTTAAATTGTTGAAATCTTCATATGGAAAGCATGGTACTTATTCTAGGCTGGAGTTCTGCAACCAATGTTGGTTACCATATTAACAAAAGAGCCTACTCAATTGCTGTCCTAACCAACAATCCTTCTGATTACTTGGTCATTTGTTTCACTGCTGCTTGTGGAACCTTGTTGTATGCGCAATTGTTGCTATCTTTGCCTGAAAAGTCACCCTCATACTTGACAGCTGTTGAAATGTTTCAAATTGATAAGGCACTGTAAAAATACAAGTTCTTGCTTGCTATTTACCAACCAGCAAAGACAAGTTTATGAAAGCAGTTCAGTTTCAATCAGAAGTGATCACTGCAGTCAGTTTCAGTGCAGGAGCATGCCTTTATGGGTAATAATTTGCATTGCGGACTTCAGTCTATTGTGTGTGTTAGTACATGTATAATCTCAGCTTCCAGTTCAGTCATCAGGTTTGATTTGCTCCCAAAGGGAGAAAAACAAATTTGCTTTGTTCATGCCCATCTTTGTAAATGGAAATTTCCTTCTCATCATCTGAGCAAGCCAGGCTTGTCAACTTAGATGGTTTTCTAAGCACGAATAATAATTGTCAATAGAAGTGTACTCTAAAGCAATCTTTGTTTTTTAAACATTCATGTAATAATGAAGTGACCCAAGCTCAGCATTGAAATGTCAGTTTTGTGGTTTTGTAAGAGGAGAAAAAGCCACACAATTGTGTTTGCATGAGGCAACAAAAAGAACAACTATTTCACATTTATATAGTGCCTTTCACATCAGGACGACGACTTAACAGACCCGACTGGGAATCCGATCAGGGAAGTGGGGGTTGGGGGGGGGGGGGGGGGGGGTGGAGCCGGTGGTGAAAGAGTGACCAAAAGCAGGGATGAAAAGAAAGATCTGAAGAAGAATGGTGCAGTCAGACTACTATGATGCTGCTGTGCTAAAATTTCTGGCCTTCCCGCCAATGCTAAAGTTCAGTGTTTGAGTCCAGCAGAAAGAAAGTGAATGAATTAAGTTATTTTTCTCTTCTGCATACTCAAATTTTGCCTCCAGGATGGCAGATCTGAAAATATCAAGAAGGGAGCCACAGAGTTCATGAATAACCACCAAAAGTGAACAATCTTAAGGAAAGGAAGGAGTTTTAATCAGGATGTCATCTCACAGTACGAAATTAGCATTTAGATAATTATCATAAAGAACATTATGAAATGGCACTAATTTGACTCCTAATTTCAAGGTTTAGAGTAGTCATGGATAGGGAGAAGGAACAATCAAAGGTGAAGAGATACTCAACTGGAAGAGTCTAATTTCAGTGAGTTGAAAAGGGAACTGGCCCAGGTGGATTGGAAACTAGATTGACGGATAAAACAGTAAATGAGCAATGGGAGGTCTTCAAGGAGGAGATGGTTAGGGTACTATTAGGTGACCACACGCTTTCCTATGAGGGGAAAAAGTCAGGCATCCAAAGCTAGAGCTCCCTGAATGACTAAAGAAAATAGGATTAAAATGAAACAGAAAAATGAGGCTTATGATAAATGTCAGGTTCGAAATACATTAGAGAATCAAGCAGAATACAGAAAGTGCAGTGGAGAACTGAAAAAGGAAATAAGAGAGTGTATGAGAATGGGCCAAAGAGAGTGTATGAGAAAAGATTAGTGGGTAACATTAAAGGGAACACTAAAGTCTTCTATAAATACATAGAGTAAACGGATGGTCAAAGCAAGAGTAGAGCCAATTAGGGACCAAAAAATAAAACTTCTTGTGGAGGCAGGGGGCATGGCTGAAGTTCTGAATGAGTACTTTTCATCTATCTTCACAAAAGGGGATGCTGCCAATGTCACAGTAAAGGAGGAAGGGATAGAGAAATTGGATAGGATACAAATAGATAAAAGGTTAGCAAAGTAGAAGTCACCCGGTCTGTATTGGATGCATCCTAGGTTACTGAGGGAAGTTAGGGTGGAAATAGCGAAGGCTCTGGCCACAATCTTTCAATCCTCCTTGGATGTGGGAGTAGTGCCTGAAGATGGAGGGTTGCAAATGTTACACCACTGTCCAAAAAAAGGGAGAGGGATAAACCTGTTCACTACAGGCCAGTCAGTGGTGGTGAAACTTCTAGAGACCATAATTCTGGACAAAATACATTTTCACTGGGAAAAACATAAGATAATTAAGGACAGTCAACACGGATTTGTTAAAGGCAAATAATGTCTGATAAACTTAATTGAGTTATTTGATGATATAACAGAGAGGATTGATGATGGTAGTGCTGTTGATATAGTGTATATGGACTTTTACAAGGCGTTTGATAAGGTGCTACATAATAGACTGGTTAGCAAAATTCCAGCCCATAGGATAAAAGGGACAGTGGCAGAATGAATATGAAATTGGCTGGGAGACGGAAACCAGAGAGTAATGGTGAATGGTCGTTTTTAGCTGGGGGNAAGTATATAGTGGTGTCCGCTATTAGGTCCACTGCACTTTTTGATATGCATAAATGACTTGGACTTGGATATAGAGCGCAAAATTTTAAAGTTTGCAGATGACATAAAACTTTTGAACATAGTAAACAGTGTAGAGAATGATAGCAGATTGCAGGAGAAATTAGGTGAAATGGGCAGACACATGGTAGATGAAGTTTAATGCAGAGGAGTGTGACGTGATGCTTTTTGGGAGGAAGAATGAGGAAAGGCAATATACAATAAATGTTACAGTTTTAAAGGGGGTGCAGGAGCAGAGAGACCTGCGGGTTCACATACACAGGTCTTTGAAGGGGGCAGGGCAAGTTGATAGAGCTGTTAAAAAAGCATATAGGATTCTTGGCTTTATAAATAGAGGCATGGAGTACAAAAGCAAGGAAGTTCTGCTAAACCTTTATAAGTCACTGGTTAGGCCTCAGCTGGAGTTTTGTTCAATTCTGGACACCACACTTCAAGAAGGATGTCAAGACCTTGGAGAGGATGCAGAGGAGATTTACCAAAATGGTACCAGGGATGAGGGATTTTAGTTAGGTGGAGAGACTAGAGAAGCTGGGATTGTTCTCCTTAGAGTAGAGAAGGTTAATGGGAGATTTAATAGAGATGTTCAAAATTATGAGGGGTTTTGATAGAGTAGATAGGGAGAAACAGCTTCCACTGGTAGGGGGCTCAGTAACCAGGGGATATGGATTCAAGATAATTGACAAAAGAACCAGAAGGGAGATGAGGAGATTTTTTTTACACAGAGTGTTGTTACCTACTATCCCCCTACCTACCTGCCCGTACCCTCCGTTCCTCTGGCTCCGGTCTGCTCCACGTCCCCTGCCCCAACCGCCCTACCATCGGTGGTCGGGCTTTCAGCCTCTCAGCCCCGAGGCTCTGGAACTCCATCCCCCAGTGGCTTCGCCTTGCTTCCTCCCTTTCCTCCTTCAAGGCCGGTCTCAAAACCTTTCTCTTTGACCGTGCCTTCAGCTCCCTCTCGACTCTCTTCCCCCTCCTCGCTCCCTCCCTTCCCTCCCTCACCCTGACCATTTCCCCCCTCCTCGCTCCCTCACTTCCCTCCCCTCACCATTTCCCCCCTGCTCGGGTCATGACCCAACTGTGCAGCGCCTTGGGACGTCCTCCTGACGTGAAAGGCGCTTTATAAATGGAATCTTGTTGTTGTTGTTGTTGTTGTTGTTGTTGTTACGGTCTGGAAATCATTGCCTGAAAGGGTGGTGGAAACAGATTCAATAACAACTTTCAAAGGGGAATTGGATAGGTATTTGAAGAAGAAAAATGTGTAAGGATATAGGGAAAGAATGGGGGAGTGGAACTGATTGGGTAACTCTTCCAAAGAGCCAGCACAGGCACGATGGGCCAAATGGCCTTCTTCTGTGCTGTAATATTCTATGACTCTATAAATCTGTTATGAAACATTCATATTTTTCAACCCACATTTCGCACTAAGATATTAATTTCCGAGTGTTGCAGTCAGTTGGCCTCCAAATGGATGTTTAATTTTCATACTGTATTTTCAGGTTGCAAACTTTGTACAGACACTCCCAGGTTGTGATCAACAAGCAAAGATCTTCAAAGAAGAGGTAAGAAATTTAGTAATAAAGCCTCCCACCTTTTAGAGTTTACTCTTCAAAGTACTCGTTGTATGGACCCCATTACTCATGCATCTGGCCAGCTGGCTCACCTCCATGTGCCAGCCAGCTCCTGTGCTTAAAATAGGCAATTTCCATAAGGTTGTCACAGATGTCATTTCCTGTGTGCTGCTGAAGAAAGTAAAGTAGACTTGATGATCTGAAGGTTGGCCATTTTGGCTTCCCTCAAATGTTATAAAAAAGTGCAATGTTGAGTCATTGGGTCCTCAGCGACACCACTTCCTACAGCAACATGTAAGAAGACATCAGTGGCCTGATGATCCAGGAGTCAGCAATTTTGAAGCGTAAGAGCCAGTGAGGACTAACAAATGTCAGTGGGCAAATGTGGCATGTGATATTATGGTGATACATCAAATTGACTCAAACATGCTCTAAAGTAGTCAATAATTATTGAGGATGAATTTCCTTTCCTCTCCTCCCCCTCTCTGGGAAAGGGTAACAATTGACTGTTTTGACCACATTTCTGGTCAATATTTTGACCACGTTTTTTCTCCCATGATACTGAATATACACTGAAGAAAAGTTACAAAATCCACTAGAAATATATTCATTATTAATAATTGAGCACATCAAAATATTTATAATTGTTTCCTGTAGAATATATGTTAATGAAATTGCACTCAAAATTATTTCAAATTAATTGTTACATTGTGACATTATAAAACTATTGACCACTGATGTTTTATTTTTCAGCAAATTGATGGAGAAGCATTTCTATTGCTGACGCAAACAGACATAGTTAAGATAATGAGCATCAAACTCGGCCCAGCACTTAAGATCTACAACTCCATCTTAATGTTTAAAAATGCAGAAGAAGGGGTAACCCCGACGGTATAGTAGATAAAGCTGCAGTTTACGGACCAGGAGTTTGCTGGTTCTCAGCCAGGGCTGCATGGGGAGGCTAAATTGGCCCCAGCCTTCCCAGGGTTAAGGAAGGGGGAAAACCAACCTGGGTTCCTGCTCTTGGTCCCTCTACAGGTAGTACATGCGTGTGGCAACCAAGTGTGGAGAGGTCAAGTTCGACTGTGATGCCATCTACAGTCGAGTGTCCTGCCGACACTCATTGTCAAGCCTCACTCATGAGTCATGGCTATTGGAATTGCACCCCAGCAAGAAGAGGCCAACCAAGAGCAGAGAGGCATGTGCCAGTGGGGGTGGGGAGGATTGACATCAAGGGTTGGAAATTGTAGGTTAAAAATAAAATGCTATTCATCTCTGTCAGTTACAAAGAGAGGTAATCATCATCAGTCACAAAGAGAATACATTTATCAGTAATATTAACAGGGTATATTTCATAAATGCTTTTGAAGCAAGGTTTCTATACGTGCTGAGATATTAATGGTTTTAAAAATATTTTAAGTTATAAGTGCTTGTTATTAAAATATGTTAAAGGGTTTGAAGTCATTAACGTGTGAAGTTATATAACACGAAAATACGTTTTGAAGTTGCACTAATGTAGTATCAATCTAATAAGTTTGTCATGTAATTAAGATCAAATTACAAGTTTTGCCATACTGCAAATTGTTTTTAAGAATAACTACTGAAGTTTGTTAAGACTACATGACTGTCAATGAGAGAATGTGTTGTTTGTTCTAAGTCGGAAAAATGGGTGTATACACTTTAAAGGCGTGAAGAGTTAATCTGGATGTTACTCAAATGTTAGAGCATACCTGACGACAATCCATAATCAAAGCACATTAATGTAAAGCCACAGTAATCACATTAAGATGTAGTATTGAAATACAACTCTGTTAATGTAGGCTGTTGAGCACAACCATAACAAAGCATATTGTTCTGTATTTGCTTAATTATTTAGGTAGTGAAAATACAATTGTAAATTTAGTTGGTTTGATTCACACAGTTTGTACCATTGTCTCTAGACTCATTGGATATTGGGGGGAGGGGAGGTGGCATGAGCTATTCTAACCACATATGAAGACGTGTGACTAGAAAACAAATTGAAATGACCTGGCATAAATGTACCTGTATTCAGTCCAACCCATCATACACTTTCTCCCTCCACTGCCACGATATTGCCTGTCCTGCACACAGAATGATGGGTAAGACACATCACCAAAATGTTGCAGTTCTTTTATTTGGTCCAATGCGTACTGCCCACAGACGCTTCCATAGAAGAAGAAAACATGATTTTATAAGCTTAATTAAATAAAAGAACTTTTAACTTTGTACCAAAAAAAAATTACCAGGACATAACCTGACAGGATAATGCCCCTTTTTGGACATAAGCAGGCCTGACAGGTTAAAGTCTGAGTCAACTTGTCAATTGTATTATTTCACATCAATGCCATATAACAACAACAAACAACAACAACTTGCACTTATATAGACAATTTGCACATATCCAATGAGTTTGCAGTGCGTCCTTTATTTTTCTGTAATTCAGAATCACGGAAGAAAGAAATATTGCAGAAAGATGAATGAGTTGAAACCATCCTGTGTTCAAGTTAAAGAGTACAAATGAAGCTGTACTGTTCTCTAGTGTTTCATAGACCTCTATCACAATTTCCATGACCTATTAAGAGTTTCTACTGTATTGAAAAATTAATCCTAAATGGATAAAGTGCACTATTGCTCTACGATAGAAGTACTCCTTACATTGCTCTGAGCTAAATAATAAAGTAGTGATTTTTTTAGGTAATTGTCTTTAGAAGCAATAGACATGGTGGTATGTTACATGCTTGTGTAAAGTGGTTGCTTTATAATGTGTGCATATTTTGTACTGTATTGTTTCCAGTGTAGTTAGTAGTGCATTACAGTTGTGAATGAGTTTCTTATTCATGTTTGCACAGTTCAATCATTCCAAAATGTGATCCTTTGCCTTTGAAAATGTGCTTTCTCTGACATATAGTGTTTTAATATGCATTCTATAAATAATATATACAATATCTATAATGGGGAAAGGCATGTTTATTCTTAAACCTAATTGTTAATTGTACACTGCAATGTATGTTACAAAGATAGAACTTTTTTTAAGGAAGTGTCTTACAGAGAAAATGCTACAGTGCAATTGAAAGTCTAGTTTTGGTGGGTTTTTTTATATCCGGAATCAACTCTACACAACCTCTCCTTCAGTTACCTTCAAATTGTGTTTGTTAACAGTTTGTAATGCAGTCCCCAGCCAATTGTGTTAACATTGTGTAATTAGCAGAATGTATGTAGAACATTACGAGAGATGAGGTATGCAAAGAGGCTTAATACATAGGTTTGATTTTGTATTATTTCAAAATACAGCCTATGAAAGTCACTAAAAGGAATAGACCATATTAAACAGTGATATTAAGTATCTATTTTTGTGGAAATTAGTTTTAAGGTGTTTATTGTAAAAGAGAAATCATAAATAGATTGAATTCTAAAAAGATATTTGTAATTAGCTTCCCTTCTTCCTTAACAAAGGAAAGTTGTTCTGCTCATTCAGAATTTGTGCCTTGGCATTTGCTGTCTAATTCGGCAACAGAAATATGGTGAAATTTGAAACAAAATATTTGACTATGTCAGGAAGTGTTTAACTAAATGACAAATTGTCAGGAACAATCAAATCATAACGATACTTAGGTCTAAATTGCAGTAGTTCTTAACAGGATTCCTTAAGAAGGAATTTGTTAGAATGTTCCCTTTGACCCCCAGGAACTCTGCTTGCATTAGAGCAGAATTCCTGCAAATTGGTGTGATGTACTTCTGATTCCCAGAAGGAATCTCCAGTTCAGGAATTCCGAAATGCTGCAATTTAAACATTGTTTCTCGGAAGAAAAGTCAGAGCTAGCTTAGAATTACACAACTGGCACTATTTCTATGTTTTTCACAAGATGGATGTATGGCAGGAAAGAAAATGCAGGTCTGGCTATTCTTCAATCAGCAAATATCATTGATTATCCATCCATCAAAATAGCCAGTCAGGCAACCCCCATGTTTACATGCTGGCAGTTTTTTTTTAATATATGGTGACAGAGCACATCTTTTATAAATTTTATATTATGTGCAGTGAGCGGTGTGATAACTTGAAGATACTTCTACTTTAACATCATCACCAGCGATTATAGAATCACCCTTCAGTATTGGTGCTGACAATGAAGGCTTCAACAAGAACACCTCAAATGCTTGACTTTACATGGTTAGGAAGAGAAGATAAAATGGCACTGAATGCTTTTTATACTGTGACTGAGCAAAAATTACAGTACTAACAAACTACATATTTCCCATTCAGTGAACACAGCCATAAAGTTTATTACACTGTACCACTAAGTCTAAAATGCCTCAGTTCACAAAAAGTTTGTTATATTTGTTACTGTGTTTGTTATTTACATATTTGAATGTCAAAATTCTTTCGATAAAAATGTTAACTGTTTTGCAGGGATTGTTTAAAAATAATTCCTTCTGTCCTGGCATGCTGTATTTTACCTTCAGTTGGATACTTTTTTAACTGTGATGTTTCTCAAAAGTGAGCTTGGAAAATTTTTCAATTGGAATAAAGATTTGTCAAGCTGAAACTTTGTGCTGTGGTTTACTTTCCATTGTATACCAACAGTATACAAGTTCAAAGCTTTCCAAAGTTCAAGGATAAATATTTAAAAGATTCACACAGAGTGTGAAAACGTAGATTGCACTGCTACAAAGGCTGTAGAAGGAGACTCAATTGGGATGTTTAAAAAGCAGATAGATATTTGGGGAAGTTTGCGAATTAACGGATATGGGAAAAAGTTAGGGAATGGGATTAACTTGGATCTGCCATAATCAAACAAACGAATGAGACAGATAAGACGGGCTGAGTGGTCTGCTCCTGTTTCCATGTTCCTAAAATACTAAAACCTAAATTTTGCAAGCTAGAAGATAATAGGAGGAAGAAAAGAGGAAGGCAGACATTCCATACTTTTGTGCTCCTCATATTGATGGGAGTTAGGAAAGGAGATATGATTTTATTTGATCACATACATTTGCTTGTGATGCAAACTTATATTTTCTAGGCCAATCTGGAAATCCAAATGTCAGGATGGTGTTATGTATTGTACATTATGAATAGTGTGACATATTTCCGAATTAATGATCCATTTAAACTACATATTAGCTTAAATTCAATGCAATTTTGCATTGATTCAACCCTAAAGGTCGAGCATAAGTCAAATTTTAGGATTACACTTCCATTTCTCGCTTCTCACGATACTTCATAAAGTGTTTTTTGGACTTAAGAATTAATTGGATTGCTCTTCTGATTTTCAATGTTACTAACAGCTGGTTTCACCTCCATGGCTCTTTTTGTCTGAGGTTCGCTAGCAGTTAGCAGACTTATGTGCACACACTTTGGTGTGCACATTTAGAGCTCGTCTCAGACATGCCCTATGTCTGCATTACTGCAGTCACATTACTTTACCTGGCCCTTAATTCAGCCAAATGTCAGCCTAGCTCTGTTGGTAGTGATAACTTACATTTAAATAGCACTCTTCAATTATGATAACATATTTCAGCACTTCACGATTATGGGATTGAATGCTGAGCAAGGGAAAGGGGTGAGGGAGGTTAACCTCTATGATCGAAGAGGTAGATTTAAGGGAGGGATTGAAGAGATAGGAAGGGGGCAAGGCAAAAGGGAGGGTGTGAACAACATCAATAACTTGCACTTATATAGCACCCTCCACGCAGGGGAGTGTCTCAGTGCGCTTTACAGTGCCGTAGCCTGACTCCGAGCCGAGGGGAGGGAGGAGCTGATCGTAAACACGTGTCCCAGAGGTTAGAGACATAGTAACAGAAACCGTAGCCACAATTGGTCATGCGGAAAGCGTAGAGGTTAAGCAGCAGGCCTGAGTTAGCCAAGCACGAGGGAAAACAGAAGAGTGGAGTAGGAGGAAGATATGGAGTTCCTAGGCGCACAGGGATTTCTGTGTCAGGATGAGGACTTTAAAGTTGATGCATTGGGTGACAGACATCCTAACACCTAAAATAACTTCCTCACGTTTGGAATTGGAGGTAAGGTTGGAGTGGGTGGGGTGGGATCAAGAAGGTATTTTGAGTTTGAAAAGTGGAGCTTGACGGTCTCACCTCTGAGTCAGAAGATTGTGAGTTCAAGCTCATAGTCTGGGCTGCCACTCCAGTGCAGTGTTGAGAGTGTTGCATTGTTAGAGGTTCTGTCCTTTAGATGGGAAATTAGATCAAGGCTAAAAATCTATTAAAAAAGAGAATGACATTTCTCCTGGTTTCCTGGCCAACAATGCCACAAATAAAATAGATAATTTAATTCATAAGTGTTTGTGAGACACTGCTGTGCAGAAATTGGCTGTAGCGTTACCCTCAAAGTACACAGTCATTGCCATTTTACAGTAAAATCTTGTGAAGTGCTTTGAGCTTTTACAAATACAAATCATGAAATTACTTTCTACAGCATAAAACAACATCTATGCGTGTGAGGTTTTGAAGTCTTCTTCATAGAATGTTTGTTTCGACTATGTCACAAGCTGGGCTTATCAAGAAAAGGAAAAGGACAAGTTCACCGAAGTAAAATAAAATGAAATGTCAATTGGAAACTGGGACATGCAATAACAGCAAGTTCTGTAAGGAGAATTCACTGAACTGAGCTAATCTGCATGTTGCAGTACACTTGGAGCAATATTTCCAGGCGATGCAGCAGACTGCATTAAGTGAGCACATTCTTATCTCGGGATGTACAGTCCTCATAGATAATGTACTGATTTATATTCAACAGCCTTTAAAATAGAAAAGCCCTTTTATTCCACATTGCAACACTTAATCAGCACAATTGGAAAAAAAAGTTAAAAAAATATATTCTGGGTTTTATTCTAAAAGGGAAAGCTATAAAAATTCAGAACTTGTAATTCCAAAGGGAACAGCTTTGGAGGGCTTTAAATGAGTGTGCCAATCCTGAGACTAACCTCTGTTTGATATTTGAATCTATTGACTTTGACTGTAGAAAGCTGCAGTATTTGTTATTTGACAATTCTGAATCATTCTTCTGTCATTCCAACATCAGTAGAAAAAATGAACCTCTAATGCTTTGTGATTTTCAGGGGCGAAATGAATAATTTATAGAAGCGGGGAAAAAAATCTTAATTGTTTATGCTTTATAAATAGAGATGTTCAAGTCGGTTGAATTTTTAAGCTGTAAAAGATTTTGATGGCAACAAATTGTGTTGTGTTTAAAGATTTCACAGTGCTACCCCTTTACAGGGCACCAGAAATTGAGTTGGAATGTGGCAGATGCTCACTGACTGAAAATGTCACAGAACCCCAAATTCCCAAGTGTGACTTCTTCAATGTGCAAATATTCTGAAGTGTTCGGCAGAAGTTCTTTCGGGTTGAAAATTGTGACCTGCGATGTGTTAATTAACACCGGGTAATTAGCACATTGTTGAAAAATGCAGCCAACTTGGTTTGTCGATAATTAAAGGTATCAACTGATCCGCAAGTGTGAATCCTCCCCGCAGATTTCAGCACACTGTTTGCACATGTGTGAAGTCTTCCTTTCACACCAACCATTATCTTATGACTTCTCAGTGATGACTATATAGTGATGATTTGCACTGTATATATGGATATTCTGTGCTGTGAGCTCATGCCCAGAAACTATGTCACATATGACGTTTACAGCTTGCCAATGGAGGAGACTTTCATTCCATCTGTTTGAACTAGTGTCAAAGCCAGATTCCAGAGGGTGCTCAGATATCTCTTCCCTGCTGTTGTTTAATGGGGAGGACTTCTGACTGTGCAATGAACCAGATGTGGTTTTTACAAGCCCGCAATGGGGTCTAATTTGCAATGTTTGCCAAAAATGTCTAATTGGGATCTCCAAAAGTGTGGGATGGCCTTTGATGTTGTCATCTGCT